CAAATTGTTTAAAACAGAATAAAACATAAAACATAAATACATTTTTTCTGTTTTATACAATTTTTTCTAATTCTGTTTCATTTTTTCCGGTTTTATTCGATTTTTTCAAAAAATTTAAAAAAACATCATAACCTATAAAGGACAACCTAGAGGTCTCTTTTTAGTTCTCTTAACGTCGACTTTCAGACAACTTCCGAAAGAGCTTATAAAAATCAAAAGTGCTCTTTAGGATTTCTGAAAGATTACTTTTTGGATGGACATATTGGACATCTTTTAGTCGCGCTAAAAGACCTCGTTTTGGATATCTTGAAAGACAGCTTTTATCTTTCAAAAGTTATCTTAAAGAGCGCTTTAAGAGAACTTTTTGTTTACTGGGTAATTTATTCTCTCCCTTGTGAATACCGAATATCCCTTGAACACACACTTGGAGAGCCGTGAAAGCGAAGTAATAAAAGAAATATCGACCGATTATTCGCCGCACGCCATTCGCCTCGCCATTTTGTCGGCAAGATACCGCGTGTTATGGGACATACTACGATCCTATCGCTCGAACTCGGTGAATAGAGAATCAACGTCGCATCTGATTCGCCTACCGCGTCTATTTGGTATAGTGTAAATACAATTCTTCGCGGCCTTAAATCACTGCGGGATACCTAGATCGATAGTGACGCTTGTCGCCACTGTACCGTTTCAATCCGCGCAAGATATGGCGATCTGGCGCCGGCGCCGCGCCCGCGTCATGCCGGTTTTCTTCTATTATATTTTCTTCTATTTTCTTCTAATTATACTGCATGCAAATTATATTCATTTACGCATTCTGTCCATAAGATATACGTATAATACACTATGGTTTTACTTAAAAATTTCAGAAACTTAACCTCTTCTGAACACAAAATATGTATTTTCTTCGTATTTATTAAGCTATCGATATTTCATGTGACTTATCGTTTTCGTATTTTTATATATTAATTATAAGCATTGTACATACCTTTTACGTGAGACAAAAATATCTTCAGCAAACAAAAATGCGTTTATTGAAGACAAAGATATACTGCACTAATATACTGCACACTGCACTGTCCCGGCTCTCGGCGTCCCGGTGTCTGCGGCAATCATTTCGCGGCAATATACGGTTAGATTAGGTTAGGTCAAATGCTTCAAAGCATTTCTAGTGTTTTCCAAACGCAGCCATATACGATGCTCATTTATTAAATGAGAAATCTCAGAAACCTCTCAGAAAACTTGCATTTGTAATGTTGCAAAATATTATATTGCAAGAACATTTCAAATGTAAGGTTTCAATCAAAATGATTGCAAAAATATTGCAATTGCAATATTTAAAAAAAAATGATTTCAGAGACATCACAAATGTGATGATACACAATTGAGACATTGAAACGTCCCTGCAACATAACTGAAATCTTCTGTGCTATCAGGGCTGTATTTCACGCTCATGTTTATCCTCGCTCTCTGTACATCTAACGCATACATACTTGGTATACTCACACATTCTATACGTACACGGAAAAAAAAATTTTCGCTACCATAGCTAATTATGGTTTGCAAAATAAATTTCTAAACTGTAGCAAAACGGTTTGCTGTTGCACCTAATAAATAGGTGTCACAGCTAAGATGTTCGCTGTCCATATATTACGACTGAAATCTAGTTACCACGCGTAGTTTTTAGCTACGGCAGCTAATTTTTTTTTTCCGTGTACGACGCACAGTGCAGTATAATTCGCATATATACGGATACATACGCATTCTGTATAATGCATACATAATACATTGTAATTCATGCTCTTCGACATTTATACATACACGCACGCGCTATCAAAGAGATAAGAAAAGAACGAGCAATATGTATCTATCTTGAAAATAATAAAAATAATAAATAATTTATAAATTATTTACCGCCTATTGTTGGTCCGTCCGTCGCCCAAACCTCCTTTTCCTCTCTTATTCATCTCTCTATGTCCTCGTGGCACTCACACTCACTCGCAAAAGTACGATTAATTATATGATTAGCCATATATGATCGCGAGACACTTTGCACGGCACTCTCGATCGTGGAACACGAGATACTCAGTTTATTATACTGTAAGACATTGATTGTAGCAAATTATATTTTAATACTTGTCGCGTTTAGGAAAGGAATTCGATAGAGTGTCTCTCTCTCTCTCTATTACAATCCTATTCAATTGTTGCCGTGCGAATGCCATTACGTAACAACGTAAGTCGTAAACAATAGCGCGCTAATGTTTACGCCAACAAAGCGGAATACCATGTTGTTGATAATTCGCGGCCGAAAATATTTTGCGTGCTATGACGTACATACAAGCGGAATATTAAATTATACAAGTATTTTAAATTATAGATCAGTTATTTAATAAACGGTTAATATATCACGGGGCTTATCGTTACGTTAATTACTCAGACCTGCGATTTGACTATTTTATTGCGCGTTCTTAATCCAAACCATATATAAATTATCGAAAAGTCGAACGATAAAGCATCCGGCGAAATATAACTGAATTTTAAGTATTTTTAAAGAAATAATTATTGCTTATAAAGAGAAAGGAAGAAAGAGAGAGATCGCGTCAAAACAATAATTTACAATTTTGATTTTTGTCACTTTGATTTAACTAAAAATTACCCGGTTTATGTCATGTTTGGTATCATTTTAATCGCAAAAATCATTAATCCATTAAAATTATTTTCAAACAGATAAAATGCAAAATATAAAAGTTTTATTTTCTATGGTAATATGACACATATACTCGTGAAATACTATGTAATAAAAATAAAGGAATAAGTCCCTCGCGTGTAAAAAACTTCGGAACTCTGACAATATGTCATCTCGCTTACTCTTTACTCGTTCTCGCTCTCATTTTCGATAACATCGGAGACCTTTACTTATCTATAATAATTTATTTGTAATATTCAAAAATATTATACAGGGTGTTCCCGGGTTAAATGGCCAAACTTGAAATATAAATTTAGAACCTTAAAACAAGAAAAAATTTTTCTCTGGAAGTATGCTCGCAAACGCTTCGTTCAAGAGATATTGACTTCTGAAGTTATGAACTATAGGAACGAATAATTTCGGAATAATCTAGGTTTATTCTATTTATTGCTGTACAATAATCAAAATTTAATAATTAAATGTTTTGT